TCTGAGTCACCACCATGCACTCTTCATCCACTTCTGTCAGTGTTTCCCATCCAACCGCCACACTTCTAGTGCTTTGAGTTCAAGCTTAGAGTTACTTGAAGCTCTCAACAGAACAGGAAAGTGTTTTCACATAGGTGAAACAATTTATTTCTCTGTTCTGAGAAATGAACTATTTTAGTTGCACCTTCCCCCTTTCTGGACTCGTGACCATTCCCAAACATCTGGCACTAATCATGATTAACGTTAATGAAAGCAATAAACAATTGAGACCAGGATATTTCATATGAAAAGTCAGGGAGTCATAACCATGCAGTACTGTCAGCTGGTTCTGGGTATTTGTGAGCAGAGCTAGGATTAACCCCACTGAACATTAGTGATTTAAAAGCTACGCATCTGAACTGCTTCAACAGACTATGGAGAGGCACAATCAATGATTCACCCCATCCAGAGCTAGACATCCATGATGGGGTAGACTAAGCACCCCCTGAAGGTACTGGTCTTTCTCTAGCAATTATACAAGTTGATAGACAAGTGTGACCAGTCTCCCATTTTAGACACATATAGGTCAATGGGGTGAATATTATTCTGTGTGTATATACATGCATGCCTACATACACACTGTATATCACAGAATCTTTAGGGCCAGAAGGGACCTCTGGAGATAATCTAGTCCAACCCTCCTGTCAAGGCAGGGCCACCTAAAACACGTTACGCAGGAGCACATCCGGGTGCATTTTGAATGTCTCCAGAGAGGGAGACTCCACAAGCCCCCCGGGCAGCCTGTTCAAGTGCTCTGAGACCCTCAATGTAAAGAAGTTCTTCCTCATGTTGAGGTGAAACTTCTTGTGTTTTAGTTTATGGCCATTGCTCCTCGTCCTGTCACTGGGCACCATTGAAAAGAGTCTGGCACCATCCTCCTGGCACATGCCTTTAAGATATTTATATGCATTAATAAGAACCCCTCTCAGTCTGCTCTAGACTAAATAGGCCCAGCTCCTACAGTCTCTCCTTATAAGAGAGATGCTCCAGACCTCTGATCATCCTTGTGGCCCTCTGCTGGACCCTCTTCAGTAGTTCCTCATCTTTCTTGTACTGAAGAGCCCAGAATTGGACACAGATCTCTACATACACACGTCTGTGCATCTGTTCTTTTTAAATGTATCACATAAATGCAGCACACAGAACTCAGTGCGTCGTTACAAGTGCCCACATGGTTTTACGCCCATGTGCATGTATTCCATGAAGCCTTCGAGCTGTTTCCAGTGCACGTAACTGTTAGCAATGGGTGCTCTGTTTGCTTCGAGAGGTGTGTGTGGCATGCAGCAGCCTGCCTGAGGATGAGTTGGCGCTGTGCGAGTAGCCAGCCGTGCCCAGCACCAAGGGCTGCCTGCTCATGCCCTGCCTGATGATAAAGCTTTTCAATAGCCTTTTGAATCATTCACTCTGGGAGACTGTCTGAAACCTGTAATATAGAGTGACAGACATCGTTGCAGGCTGAAATAATACATAAAAGCCTATCTCCTAGGGAGGGCGTGAGGTCTGAGCAGTGCACGTCCGCCTTTGTGTGCTGAGTGAAGAAACACGCTCTTACTGATAGTACTTGATGGTTGTGCAAGGCTGAATTCTGCTTGCTGGCACTTTTTATCTCTCACCTTTCCTGTGCAAATTCCTTGTTGTCTCTGGATGCTTGCTGTTTGTAACTGTGTTCGTTTACCTCTGGTTTCCACAACCCAGGAAGAATGTGATTTCCCTGTCCTTTCTAGCCTTTTACCTTCTGTTTCCCTCTTTTCTTCACCCTTCTTTCCTTGACCCTGCAGTCTTTCCTTCAGGCTGATGCAGCTCTGCCCTGGAACCATCCTGCTGGAAATGCCAGAAGTGTGCATTTTCCTCTTGCAGAGTGTCAGCAGTGTCCCTCATCTCCTCAATGCACTTTTTGTTCACTCGCTGGAATCGCGTTGGACTTGGCTTGCTCCTGCCTGGCTGTTGTGTGTTTGCTGAAGAGAGATTTGTTTCTCAAAACAGCATTGCTGCTCCCTGCCACTGTCCAAAATCAATAGACTGACTGCCTGGTTTTACACCCTCGTTTGCACTTTCTTATCCTTTTTTTTGGTGTTTCTTACCACTTCTAAGGGTTTTGTTCTTTAACAAAAACAAGTTAAAGACTTTACATCTGAGCTCCCCAAAAAACATGCAATGGCAAGTTACTACCTGGTGGATTTCATTCCACCTCTGTGCACAGGGCTGAAGATTGCAGCACTCTGGGAGGTGATTCAGAAGCTGGAGAGCCAGCCCTGCCCCAGGGTGGGAAAGGTGCATAGTCGGGTGTGGAAATGACTTTGGCTGATTTTTATCCATTGCCTGCAAAAGTCTGGAGTCACTGAGGTGCTTTTCAGTTATTCCCCTTTGGCCCAGCAGGACCACAGTGCTCCTGGAAATTTCCAGGCAGCAGACCAATGATCGGGGCGGGGGTTGGATTTCCTAAAACTTCCCTGGATTTAGAAACGCAAATCTCCAGGGCAGCTTGGTAGGATTTGTGTTCCTCCATCACTGAAAACCCATTCTATACGCCAGCTCAGTATTGACATCTGTAGCCTGTTTTTTGGGAAGGGTGAATACCTCTGACCTGTGGGGAAGTGGTGACTCTTTGAGAAGGCGCCTGATGTCCAGGACCCCCTGTGATAGGTATAACTTAGGTATTTGTGTTTTTCTAGTAATGATACGTATCATTTGCAGTGCTTGCTCTTGCCCCATTGACTGCACAAGTTCAAGCCCTTTGAGATTTCAAAACACACTGTAGATATTAAATATCTGAGCCTCATAACCTTTCTGCAGATTAGGTAAGTGTTATTGCTCAGCACTGTAAATGGGTAACTGAAGATATATCCCTGCTGAATTTGATGGAAAGAGGTTAAGTAACCTGCCCAAACCGAGAAGGGTGTTAGTAACAGAGCCATCACTAAATTTCAGCCCCATCCGCTGTTGGTTAGACAGCATTGCTTCTCTATGTCTGTCTCCTGCTTGAGACACAGTTGAATAAAACATGCTTTAATGTTGTCTATGTCCTTGTTTTCCTGTGCTGTCTATGCATTTCTCTTTCAACATGCTGTGATTGTTGCTATTCCTGGGCGGTTCTTGACTTCCTGGTGTTAGTCCTAATTTGCCAGCTGCGTTTATGCACTAGGAATAAGGACAAAAAGCTCACACCTTTGTTATGCTTTCAGGCAAGATTGAATAGATACCAGTGGCAACCAGGGCATCCTTCATTCAAATTAGAGCACTTGAGTTTTCCAGCTCTTATGTTTCATCCTGTGTTAGTGCAGCAAGCAGTAGTGCTCTGTACACATGCCCCAGCACTTGGGCACACTGCGCTGTTGCCTGGCTTCTGCATCTGATGCTGCTTTCTTATTGCTATGTATCTTTTGCTGCTCTATAGTGCATTTCCATGTGACAAGAGGCCAGGGTGTCATTCTTCACACACCTGCTGATATCAAATGGATTATCCTCATGTTTTTATAACATCCCTCCAACAGGGAAAAAAAAAGAGAGCTGTAGATATGGAAGCACTTGGCTTTGATTTTCAGGCCAGCTCAAAACAAGACCCCATCGTGTAATACTGGACATCTGCAGTTTCAGAGGAGGAATTTTTAATTTTTCAGCTCTTTTCCTTCACATCCCCAAG